GGCATGGCTGAGTCCAAATGTCACTAGGGAAATATTTATTAAATATCACGATTACTGAGGGTCAAAATGCACTAGGCACTGGAGATCTAGAGGTTAATTAGGCATAATTCTTGTTTCTTACCATTTAGTAGAAAGAAAGAGACCTTTGATTTACTAAGTAGAGAATGTTTTGTTACAGTAATAAATGTTCAGTGAGCACACAGGACAAGGCAGTTAATTTTAAGGGGGGGAAATACTGAGGGTATGGAAAATTTCATAGCAGAATCGCGAACTAAGTCCTGAAAGAAGAGTAACGTGTCATCACGTAGACAGAGAAGGTGAAGGATTTGCAGATCTGTGTGTCTGTATAAGTGGTTCACTGATGCAAGAATTAGAAATAGAAATACAGGTAATTCGGTTTTTCAAAAATTCAGTCCCTGGGTGTTGGGTGGGAGTAGAGGGGAGATTTAAGACCAAAGATAAAACTTAAGAGGTGAACAAGGGCTAGATCGTGTTGGGAAGGGGAGGGTAAGGGGCAGCTTATATTTAATTTGGAATCATCAAGGTATTTTACAGTAAAAATTGATGTGATCAGTTTTGTATTTTGTAGAGGTCATTTTGGCAGCAGGATACGGAAGTGTAGGTGCCAGTCTCCCTAGCCCTGTTCTCATTCTCGGCCTGACATGTCTTTTTCTGATTTCTGAAACTCTGCAAGTCATATCCCTTCTCCAACTACTAGTTAAGATACCAACTGCCTCCTCACATCTTCTCCAGTCCACTCCTTTCTTCACCAGGACCACCACCAGCACCAGCACAGCACAGCACATCATCATCATGTTTTTCTACTCTAAACACTCATCCTACTCCATCTGTACTAAAATTAATGCAAATGTTCTACCGTCAGTATTGGTAAAACAAAAACTGCCAAGTACTCCAAGGTTCGCAGAAGAGAGTAATTGCTCAATTAATGCTATTGAAGACATGAATAAGTATTCCCTAGGAATTTAAATTTTTTCTTGAGATTAAGAGATAGTAATGAAGCTTACTTGTTAAAAGCCTAGACATAAATATTTCCATAGTCAAAATTTCTTCTCTCTTTGCTAAAGGATGCCCAGTTTGCAGCATCCTTGGTTTGTGCACATGATGTGACAATAAGTAATCTCTATTTAATTATGAAAGAAAATAGTAATTTGCTTATTCTTCACCTGAAGAGAGGTTGTAATATAGAGAGAAAGTTAAGCCAGAGACATTTATTTAAATCACAGGAGACAAAATGCATGGCATAAAATTATTAGTTATATATTGTAAATTAAGGATAAAGACCTCTGACGTGGTATTCCAGAGTTCTTTCAATCTGAAGTTAAAATAATTAAATTTTTACTTTTTCTTTGTTCAAATAATAAAGGCTACATGTTGTTATAAGAGAATGGTTATTTCCCCCATATGAAGGGGAAGATTTAATGGACACATCTGTGAAAAAGTTTTCCAGTAACTTAAAGGCATTAATTATGGGAAAATAGAAGGATACTGGAGATAAAGGGTTAAAATAGGGAAGAGGAGGTTTCACAACTAAGATTCACATTTCTCAGAACAATTTTCCTTACTTATCAGTATTCATATTTAGATAGCCATATTTTTCTTTCATCCAAACCACTGATGAAACACTTGTTTTATTACTTATTTTAGGGTGAAGATGGATTCCCAGGATTCAAAGGTGACATGGGTCTCAAAGGTGACAGAGTAAGTAAAAAGAAAATTTGCACTACTACAACATTTATGTATGTGCGTGTATTTATTCCTAAGTTAAATAATTGCGAACATAGGATAAATAAAATGTATTATCTAAGATATTTTTCAGTTCTATTTTTATATGAAAATAGGTGTTTTAATTTTTGTGGAGATAAAGTGGTATCAGCTGTCAGATATTATATTAAATCTCTCTGTGTCCTATAACATGTATACATAGACATAGTTTTATATATACATTATTCTTAGCATATTATATGTTATATATATGGTGCTATTGTTTATAGGTATTTTCTAAAATGATCAAATTGATTAATATAATTAATTCAATAGATTTGTGCTAAATGTTATCCATATATAGTGAGCTATGCTGTCTGGAAACTAAATCTGCAAGTTTCATGAATTTTCATTATTTAATTATCTTGAATTTTTGAGTGTAAAAATGGTACACTGTTTTTCTGTTAATGAGTATCTCAAAAACAAAATTGTGTCACCTAAAGTTAATTAAATGTTTTGTTAGGAAGATTTACTTTATAACTAGCATAATAGTCTCTAATAAATTTAAGCAAAAAACTTTGTATAGAATATTGATTTTTCTAAAATGTATGTGGGGGTGATAATTTACACTTTGCAGCTCCTAATACCTGAAATGTGAAAATCAGGTCTAAAATGGAGACATTTTAGTTGTTTTCCAATGTTGCTATCATTTGGCAGGAAAAATTCTTTTTCCTACTACCCTGCTAGGTTCTCAGGCTGTAATCCTGTAAAGTTAACCTGCACAAGGCAGATTAATAAGAGAAAAGCAAACATAAATTTGCTAGCCTGCATAACATGATTGCACATGGGAGCTCAGGGATGAGTAACCAGGTGAGTGGTTAGAACTTGGGCTTCTATAGCATCTTAGCAAAGAAACAATAAACTTGGAGCAGTGACAAGACAAAGGAAGGGGACTTTGAGTTTCTAGCGCTGTAAATTGTGGGAAGGCAGATATACAGGAAACTAATGGTAGAAAAGGCTAGTAGTGAAGTTCGTTGTGTGGATGGTTCTGGTGCCTGCTTCTGACTCCGGAATGGTGAGGGTCTAGTTGTCTCTAGTGATTAATTCTGGTCATTTCTGGTAGATAGGGGAGGAAAGATACCTTTGCAAATTTATGTCCTGTTTTTAAGCTAGTAAGTGGTGGGTAAAGAATTATTTTTTTCTTTGTCCCTGCTTCTTCTCGATAGCCTTCAGCTCAAAATAATCCTTATGCCAAAGTGGCATATTTTGGGGTGGCATATTCTGCCACCCTGTACTAGCTCATCTTGATTCTTTTTTTTCCCTCTCTCTGTCTTTCTGCAACACAATGTATTAAAATTAATGTGATACATGGTAGCATTGAGCTTCTCTAGGTTTTCAAATGTGAAACTATATTCAGTTATTTATTTATTAATGGAAACATTGATGAAGTCAAACACTTTCAAGCTGCTTTATCATATATAATACGTGAGTAAACAAACCAAGAGTTGAAGAATATAACTTTTTGATCGACTATTATCTCTGCCATTCAATCTCCATAATACTTTAACTACAAGAATGTTCTTACTCTGCGTTTCAGGGAGAAGTTGGTCAAGTGGGTCCAAGAGGAGAAGATGGCCCTGAAGGCCCCAAAGGTCGAGCTGGTCCAACTGGAGACCCTGGTCCTTCTGGTCAAGCAGGAGAGAAGGTTAGTGAGCAATGTTAAATTCATAGGTCCTCTTGCACATGATGCTTCGTTGTCACTTTAGGGTATTTTTAATCACTCATGACATAAATCTAAAGGATTTTATTATATTTTAAGCACATCCATATATTACTTAGAAGTATAATCCTGAGATGGGCACATTTATTCTCCTTCACTCTTCCTTCTTTTCTAGCCTATTCCTCTCCCCATCAGGCACTCTTAAAGTTCTTCTATATTGGAGGCTGAGAATTTGACTGTGATTAATGAAGGATGAGAGAATAAATCAAAGGTGGTCTACCTATAACTTTAGAACAAGCAGAATCGTCTTTGGCCTTCAGATGAAAATGTCCATTTTCTATTCTTTTCACGTAAACGTATTTTTTTTAATAGAGTAAGTGTTTTAAAAAATACTGATGCTCAGGCTGAACTAAAAGAGCTTTTTGTTTTAATCTGGAGTTAACCCAGGCATCCCTATGTTTGAAAACATCCCCAGATAATATTAATATTCATTGCTTTAAGAGTCACTGGGATGTAGGCATTATGTCAAAAAATATTGCAACCATTACATTTATATTTAGATGTAATGTTAGGCATCATTAAAAATGTGCCTTCATAAGATGTTTAGTGATACTGTAAACATCTTATGATGAATCTGAAGTTAAATGAAGAAGAAACTAGAAATATCTATGACAAGTGTTATCTGATTATGTACACCAAAGGAAAATATATATAATAGATGTCTTTTGGTGATATAAATCAAATGATTTCCTTTTGTAATATATGATTATTCTCCAGTTTTTTGAAACTGAGCATGCCATTTTTCTATAAAATATGGAAATTCCATTCTACTTAAGAAAACTGTCATCTCTGCCTCTCACCATTCTGTCCCAGAAGGAAAATATGTAAAGATTATATAGGAATTGTGACCAGACAAATAAAAAATCATTTCCTTGTGTCATTATGAGTCATCTAACGTAGATGCAGCTCTTCTGCAGTTTCACACTCCCAGTTGCCGTTTGTGCACTGATGAATATGTCCTTGTGTTTAGGCAACAGAAGGAGAAAATGAGGTTGGGGAGCAAGGGCTTACAAGGCCTATGACCCTCGCACTTGAAGTGCTCACTTGCTAATGGTTTAGGCTACTCTAGAACCTTCCTCTTTTCAGTGCTGCTCTGTTCCGTGTAAATAATCCCACAAACTATTCTGGGGCCTCAGGACTTTACCCTGCAATTCATCTTTAACATTTCATTATTATTTTCCCTTTTATTGAAGTTGCCTGTCACCATGCTGAAAATACAAATTTTCTGTCTGGATTTATTTTTAAATGACTCTAAAATGAATGCGTTCATATTCTAATGTAGTAATTAACATAGACCACAAAAGTTTTGTGATCATAATTAGAGAATTTCATTAACTTTGAAATCAGTGGCATAAAACAAGCTATGATCACTTAATGTATCCAAGACATCGTTGTAAGTATGCTTCTTAAGGCTTGTTTGAATATTTTCCATCTGAAGACTGCTCACCTATGCCATGTTGATCTTGAATCAGACTACTCTTTAGTTCAGTCTTCAATGAAAAGGTCATAAACTATATTCCTAATTTCTTGCCTTGCTTCATCCAGTAAAATATTTATTTTTGTTCAGAAAGTCCTTCTCATCTTTTAATGTGAAATATAGTAATTTGGGCTTATTTTTGTTTTTATTATTTTGTTTAAATATATGTGGGAAATAATGATACTGTCTGCTTGCTAATGTTTAAGACTTTGATAAAAAATATTTTATGTATGAAGTGTGCTTTCCTAAGATCTTAAGGAAAATGAGCAACAGTAAAATTTCACAAATATATTTTAATTCATTCAATTCACTTAATAATTGTCTACTTGTATTTTTAAATTAATGCTTTGTTCAGCATTTTAATGTTAATGTAGCATTTTAAACTTATTGATGTTTGTTACACATCTTGGACTTCATTGTATTTTACCATTTGCACTGGAACAAAATAGTTGTACATTAAAGTTCCCACTTGTAGAAGTTAACACTCCACAAAAATTATCGTCATTTAACTATATCTCTCAACATTTAGTGCATTTATCAACCCAGATTTATTCAAATATTTGAGTAAAAGAAGAAACTTTGCTCAAAAATTAGGTTCAAATTTCTTAGTATAGTTATTTAAACTTTACTTACTCAGTGAAAAAAAGTTAAGTAACTTATGATTGCTTGCTTTGTATTTCCAATGAAGAATGAAATTATTTTATCAAAAAGATTAACTTTAGTTGGAATGATAAGATCTAGATGTACTTCTAACTACATCACTAACTTTATATAGTATTTAATATTGATAAAACTTATGTGTGTTTGTAGCCATATTCTTTAATTAACCAAGAGTCCTAGAATTCTCTTTACTCAGGGTTCTATGTCCCCAAAGAAGCCTCTGTCACTTAGACAACAGAGGTTAAGTTAGCAAGCATTAATTTTAGCATTAGCAACATTTTTTCCCTATTCAAATTAATAAATATAAAGAAAATAAAAATACGGTAAAAACTTGCAAATCTTCCTTTCAAGTGTGCCAATATGTGTTTTTAAATTCTAGAAAAATGACTAATTATTATTTAAACTGAATTCAACTTAGAATTTGTTATTATTACTGTTTTTAACTTTAGGGGAAGCTTGGTGTTCCAGGATTACCAGGATATCCAGGAAGACAAGGTCCAAAGGTAAAACTATTAGCTTGATTGTTATATTTATTAATCATGTATGGTTTTCTTTCAGTTTGTAACACAGAGATGATGAGTCCTTAAAATACGATTTCGCAAGGCGAAGTGAGAGAGTGTACGGGCACCTGGAGTGCAGGGAGTTCAGAGAGCCGAGGTGATTATGCATTAGAGCATTTTAGAGACTGGGTCACGAAAGGAAGGCACAGTCAGCCACTTCCTCGTGACTGCAATAAGGTCTGTTGCAGGACAGCAGATAGGATACCTAGAAGTTATAGGTAGACGACAGGTGGTGGATAATAGCTCTTGATTTCATTTCTAGTTCTCTAAGGGTTTGAATTACCACTTGATTTTTTTTTTAAAAGAAAGAATCATACTTCTTTCATCCTCTTTATTTGCCCTCATTTCTACAGAATTTGTTTCCCATGCTGTAATAGATCACCACAAACTTGGTGACTTAAAAAAATGGAAATTTACTCTTACAGTTCTGGAGACTAGATCAAATGGATGATCTCATTTCAAGATCCTTAACTTAATTACATCTACAAAGGCCCCCTTCCTCCAAATGAAGTAACATTTACAGATTCCAGCATTTGAATATTAGATGTATCTTTTGGGGGGCACCACTTAGCCCACTACACTCAATACACTCAAATTCTATTTTTGACTATTTGAAATATATTTTAAGCAAAAAGGAAGATGTTTTAGAAATATCTGTTTACCTTGGTGTAGTAATTTTTCTCAAGCTGAAAACTTTAAGGCTGCATTTGATGTATTGACTAGTTACATTAAGTGGTTAAATGTTTTAATACATAAATTTTGGTTATTAATATTAAGATAGTTATATACACATGGGATTATCTATCAATCTACCTATTATCTATCAACCTATCTCTTTCTCATCTATCTATCCCTGCTTAATGCAGTCAGGCTTAACAAGTTTAGTAGGTAAGGATGAATTCTAGTTTTACAATAATCCCCAAACATATATTTATTAGGAAGTGTCACAGCTAATCAATGGGAGACAAAAATATTCTTTCTCCTGACCAATGAGAACTGCATGCACTTGTGACTTGTCATCGTGTGATAACAACATTTTAAAGTTGCCATGTGGTTTTGTCCCAAAATTTTTCATTGAATATCTAGAATATATATTCCCTTGTATGGTAGGAGGTACTTGGGCCCTTCTAAAATAAGATTCATTTTAGCTATGATTTAAAATTAGTACAAACATCGTTTATATGTTTCTGGCTACATTTAGAACACTGATTAGTAATTTTCATCTTTTAAATATTGTCTCTAATACACTGCTCTGTCACCTAGTTATCTTCCTTTCAGATGTCACTCATTTTCACCGAATTTTGAGTAAAATAAGATATTCACTGCATACCCCACACCTTAAACTATTCTTAGATTACTTGCTAAATTTTTTTTATCTAATTACTACATTGAATTGCAATAGCGGTGTTTTGATTTAAAAACAGAAGACTGCCTTTACATGTTGCTTGAATGAGTACAATTTTCTTTTATGAGTTTGACATTCTTATCTTTTTCTGTTTTTCCTAAGTCAATTCTCTGGCATTCACTGAGTTATTTTTATTAACAAAATGGACTAGAATGACTTAAAAGGAATGTTTCTTCTTAGAGGAATCAAACCTTTTATTTTTACCCTTTAACCTAAATGTCTGAAATGTTGTTCTTTATCTTTTTATATTACTTTTATTTGTAAGTTTTTATTATGATCAAAACCATTTACGTTTCTCTGTTCTACAACAAAAAATGATGGGTACATCAAAGATAGCTTCACATTTTTTTCCTATGGGGAAACCAATGAATTTTGAAGTTTTTGTCTTTATTGTACTAGAAGTGAAATTCAGCTGTTATCCTTTCAAGCAATTTAAGGACTATAATTAGGCAATATAATGTATCCAATATCTTGCTAGCCATAAAACCATAATGGATATTTAAAAGATGCACTGCCTTATGCACTATAAAATGATAGCTATTTCAGAAAGTAAAATCTATTTTAAGTTAGGATTCTTTTATATTTAAAATAGCATTTAAGATAATTTTGAAAGTTTCATACATATTGACTGAGCCAATTTTGCCATTAACCTTTGACTTTTTGGCCTTTTGTTTGCTAACTGTTTTTTCCATTTAAAAGCAGATAATGCCTTTTCGTGGAAATTACATGTTTTACTGACTTCTCCTTATGTGAGAAAAGAATATGCCCATTTAATACAAACTGTTTAGTAGGTGGTAGACATTTTTGTCTGTTTCCCATAAATTTCTTCGAGCAGGAATTATGTAAGAAAATAAATTTATTAAACATAAAATTAATGCCTATGAGCAATTTGCTTGAGTGGAGTCTGCAAATGTGTTTCTGTTTTGCTCAAGACAGATGAATATTTGTCCCCAAATTAAATTTGATAGAGGTGAATTACATCCATATTGGATTATATTCACTTCCCAAACTCCTAGAGTCGTCACATAGTAATTTCCTCCCAGATGAGACTATCTGATTCTCTGTGGAGAAAGAGGAAAGGCTTTGAGAGCCCTTCAAAGACACATAATTTGAAGACATTTTTCCCCCTTATGTGAGTGTTATATGTCCTAACAATTGTCCTTAGGGTGATCACATAGTGGTCTCTACAGGCAGGAATTAGAATATTTTGCTGAATGGGTCATAAAAAGCTTAGCAGTGGATGCTGAGTTTTGTCCATCAATTCCCGTAAGGTTTCACATACAATTGTCCTGACTTGTGGTGGAAATACAAATTGATAGCATCCATCCTGTACGTATCACCTGGAGAAATTGTTTAAAATGCAGTTTCCTGGACCCTATTGCTAGAGAATCTGTCTCAGTATGTCTGCAGTGAGATTTGACAGTCCATATTTTTAGCAATCACTCCAGTTTATTCTGATACAGAGGAGCTATTTATCACTTAGAGAAACGTTCCTTTAGGGATAGTTCAATCCAAATGAGTGGATAAAAAAAGTAAGGAATATATTCAAGTCAAAGAAGACACTGTTACTCTTCCTCAATGCATGGGGAAGTGTTTAAAATTGGCATGTCACTATTCTTCGCTAGA